TTAGTTTTCATAATCTCAATAAAAACGATACCCAACTGTATTCTTTTTTCTGCAGGAAAGTTAAGCACAACTTACATGGTCTTATCTATTTTTCATCTAGGAAATTGGGCTTGCATCTCTCGGTGCTCCTGATGAGTACATTGAGAAACTTGCTACTGTGAGTAAATTAACATATAAAGAAAAATCTTTTCTAGAAACGTTTGATTTGTTTAAAAAGCCTCCCAGTTCAACTAAGTGATCAGCTTCAAACTAGATGAAAAAATTATAATCTAGACCAGCAGTTCAAATGAATTAAATTCAGCTTTGATTGTAAACTAGTAAATAAATAAGGGCCGTTGTTAGTCGTACAAAACTAAAAATCCCTTTGCAAGTAGCACTACACTGGGACATGATATCCCTTAGCAAAAAGTAGTTTATTCAAGTATACTAAAAGTGCACTAATTTAATACTTAAAATCAGGCAGTGCACTTAAGAGTTTACTAATTCTAAACTATATTTCATATACTAAACAATAGTATAGCGAAGTGTACTTGACTATACTATCGTTTACTTTATTGTTTACTAAAGTATAATTTAGTAAACTTAAAAATGTCCCAATTTAGTTCTAAGAAGTATTACTTTAGTAATACTTCAAGTACACTAAAAGTACATTGTTCGGTGTACTTTCTAAACTTATACTTAAGTATTCTTAATATAATTTACTTCAATTATACTACGTTTTGCTAAGGGATAAATGCATTGATTTCTGGTTTTGGTCGTTTGCTGATCTGAATCATACAGGTGTGCTTTTCATAAAGCCTAGGTTTTTCATCAACGGTCCTGGAAAAGTTACAGTTGATGTCAATCAGTCTGGAAAAAAAATGCAATAAATAATTTTAAAATCTTGTGTCCATAGGTGTACTGGTTCACCATAGAGTTCGGACTCTGTAAGCAAGGTTCGGACGTCAAAGCTTATGGAGCTGGGTTGCTGTCATCGTTTGGAGAGCTGAAGGTAAGAGGAAGCTGAGCAGCAATCATAGATCATCCGCATCAGGGATGCTTCAGTGTCATAACATCATTTTGTTGCACTGCAGCAGCAGAATGAGGAGTGGGTTAGTGGTTCACTCGGATTCAGGTTTGCTGTCTCACTGGGGAGTCAGCCTGCTGGGTCAGCAGGGTGGCTGTAATTTAGTTCACTGGGTGAGCCAAAGTAGAGAATAACGGATGAGCAGCTTGCTATCCAGGTCACAGGTTACATCATCTGCTGTCAGCAACGGATGTGCACTCTGCCAAACCACTGGCAACGCTCTGATTCATGCTGCACTTCCTGCTTATTGCTATAAAAACGGAACCATTGAAGAACCTGAATCCATTTGTGAACATTGTTTTTTTTTTTTTTTTTTGCAGTACTGCCTAACAGACAAGCCCCAAATGAAACCTTTCGACCCAGAGAAGACCAGCCAGCAGAAATACCCGATCACAGAGTACCAGCCGGTGTACTTTGTTGCTGAGAGCTTTGAAGATGCCAAAGAGAAAGTGAGGTAAGGGATATGATCTACAGTGCGGTGAAACAACCTCATATTTGAATTGGATTATATGTGATAATCCAACACAAAGCACTACAATGAAATAATAATATTTCAACTTTATTGATCTAACATTGCAGAAATTTAGCTCTGCATTTAACCCCTCCCCTTGGGGAGCAGTGGTCTGTCATTGTGGGGCACCCAGAGAGTAGTGTGGGGTTAAGGGTCTGTGGGTGTGGGGTTCGAACTCAGAACCTCAGGATTCCACTTCCCATATATTTACCCTTTTTTAACAAATAAAATGCAGGGAATCTTATTGAACACACCATCCCCACATCAATGCATAGTAGTGGCAGCAACATGATGGGGGATTTTTTAAATTTATTTCAGGTCAAGGAAAGTATATGAAGGTTAACAAAGATAAGTAGAGTAAAATAATTATATTGGGAGAAAAAGAAAAGTCAGAGTTTCTTCCATTTTGCTGTAATAAGCTACATAATGTTGGTGGTTCACCTAAAATGCTACAAAATACAGAAACATTTTTAGATGTCACGTGATAAAATATAATCGTCTCCTTGGGGCTTTTTAATTTCTTTTTTTTTTCTTTTTAAGAAGAAATGTTTCCACTGGGGCTTAAGCCAATTTGTACCTGTCCACAGGAAATTTGCTACCACCATCCCCAGGCCCTTTTCAGTCCGCTACAACCCCTACACCCAAAGCATCGAAGTCCTGAACAACACCCAGCAGCTGACCAACCTGGCAGAATGCGTCCACAGTAAGCGCCGCAGTCCTCCCACCCTTTCATTCTTCTGTCTCAGCTATAGTTATCTTTTTATTCTGGTTTTAGGTTAAATATATTGAACTCAGTTGCTGGATTATCAGAAAAATGAGATGGTGTTTCTATGATTAGGATCCTGAATATATCTGTTTTAAGAATTGTACTGATCAGCAAAGGTACAAAAAAAGATAGACGGTGCTGTAAGCTCTTACTTTGTCCCATAATAATGGCAATAGCACAATTAATTACTAATGTACAAAAACATAAAGGTAGGGAACAAGTTTAAATGGGAGGTAGGATACAAATAAGGAAGTGATGAAAAGGTAAGGAAAGGAGGATGGGGAAAAAAGAAGGAGGGAAAGAAAGTAGGGATGGAAAGAAGGGAGTTAAGGATCAAGGGTGGAGGGAAAGGAGGAAAAAAGGGAGGCAAGTCCAAAAAAAGAAGAAAAAAAGTAAAGGATAAGCAAAAAAAGGAAAGAAAAGGCCACTAGAAAAAGAAAGGTGTTAAAAAGGAAGATCAACATTTGGATAATGAGATAGAGAATAAGGTGTGAGGTTATGTGGAGGTTTTGAGGACCCAAATGCAGAGAGGAGTAGGCACAATGAGTCTGGATGGTTTAATGAAAGCCGAGGGAAACGGAGGCAAAAATCCAAAATCGAAAAATATTTAAAAACCAAACAAAACCAATAAACGTCATAAAAATACTCAAAGAAAGCAAGAGACTAGGAAGCAACAAAACAACATCTACAACACACAAGAAACCAGCACTGAATGAAGGCTCTGGTGCTCTTTTAAACCCAGCACTATGATTAGAAAGATGTCTTTCACCTCTACTGTACCCAAGTTCTCCACAAAGATCCTCTATAGTAGAGATGCACACCTCGCACTAACCCACAAACAGGAACCCTGACATAAGGGCTGGAAAATATATATATATTTTAGTTTACAGACTGGGTGTGAACTCTGATGACAGCTCTAGCTTTTTTTTAGTAGTTTAATGCTTTAAAATAAAAAAAAAAACAAAAATCAATCATTTTTTTTTATCATTCTTTATTTTAGATTTATTTCCAGTCTTTTTAAAGCAGTAAAAAACAAGACAATTAAAATCAATAACATAATATAACAAGAGGGGATTATTATTCTATGAGTAAATTGAAAAGATGCAACAATTTTAGGCTAATTTCTTCTCCCTTTTATTTTCTTCAGGTGAACTGGGGAAATTGTGCGAAGCCCTTCGGAAACTGGAGTGACTGCTAATCCAGTTGGACGTGATCGCTCGTCTCCGCCTTCTAAATGATTGTTCAGTTACTAAGTTTTTAATATTTCTTCTCGGCTTGCTTAAAAGTTAGATACATAAACACAGCAGTTTGAATCATACTATATAAGGCTAGAGCAATATGAAATAACAGCTGTAACTCGTAACGTATACAGGAAGATGTTAGGAATGTGTTTGCTGAAGCTGGAGGTATTTCTGTCAGTATTACACCAGTGTGATTTTTTTAGTGGATTTATTTTTCAAAATAAATGTATTTCTCAGTCAACACCTTTAACTTAGCTTTGTTTAATCTAAACCTCACATTGAGCACATTTTCTCTTATATGTTTTTATTTGATTTGTTTCTAAGCATTTTTTTGCAAAAAAAAAACACAACTCTCTCCTGTTTCCACTTTTAAGTTGTTTCTAAAAAATTACTATTTTTACGCATGAAAAAGAAATAAAGACAAATTTAAAAAAAAAAATCTCATGGGAGGGAGGGATGGATGGATGCATGGATGGATAGAGGGATGCATAGCTGGAGGGAGGGGGATGCATGGATGGAGGGATGGATGCATAGAGAGAGGGAGGGAGGGAGGGAATCGATGCGTGGATGGATGGAGGGAGAGATGCATGGATGGAGGGAGGGAGGGATGGATGGATGCATAGAGAGAGGGAGGGAGGGATTGATGAGTGGATGGATGGAGGGAGGGATGCATGGATGGAGGGAGAGAGGGATGGATGGACGCATAGAGAGAGGGAGGGAGGGATTGATGCATGGATGGATAGAGGGAGGGAGGGATGGATGGATGGATGGATGGAAGGATGCAGGATGGATGGAGGTAGGGAGGGAAGGATGGATGCATGGATGGAGGGATGGAGGGATGGAAGGAGGGAAGAAGGGATGGATGCATAAAGGGAGGGAGGGAGGGAGGGACGCATGGATTGATGGAGCGAGGGAAGGAGGGATGGATGAATAGAGAGGGAGGGAGAGAGGGATGGATGCATAGAGAGAGGGAGGGAGAGAGGGATGGATGCATGGAGGGAGTAATGGATGAGGGATGCATGGATGGATGGATGGATGGATGGATGGATGGATGGATGGATGGATGGATGGATGGATGGATGGATGTGAAAAGATTCAACCAAACAGTTTAAACCTGCTTTTGTGATGTTATAAAGTGAAATGAAAAAGTCAACATAAAGCTGTATATCAGGCCAATATGATAGTTCTTCATGAAACTGAATCAGATACACGTTTTAGCTTTCAAATAATAGTAAATTAGTTTAAATTTATTTTCCAAAACCTTTAACTCATTTTTTAAATATATAAAAAGGATCATTTTAGAATTAAAAATAAATATTACAACTACAAATCAGTAAGAAGGGAGATATTGAACATTTAGGAAGAGATCCTAAACCTAAACTGCGCTATTGCAAACTAAATGTTCCTGTTATTAGTGGGAAACATTTATGTAACCCGCTTTGTTTATTATTGCATCTGCACTCACCTGTTAAAATGGGGTTTTTCCTCTCCAAACAGAAGCACTTGTAGAGCCATAAATAGAAATAACACCATGACGCGCAAGGGGTCCCCAAAAAGCCGGACCCACATGTCGCACTTACGCAATTGATCTCCATCAAAGCGTGAGGAGCGCTTATTTAAGCGCAGCAGGCAGGAGGAGCGGGGATGAACGCGCACCATCTGTCTGCTCCACTGACCGAGAAACCTTCAGCGCAGACCGGCCACATGAAGACCGACGGCGCGGCGCAGACGCTCAGCGGCAGGAAGCAGAGTCTGATCGAGGATGCGCGCAGGGAGCGCATCAGCAGCGGCTCCGCGGGGCCCTCACCGGGGCCCTCACGGTTCGGAGACGGATCCGTGTTCGAGGAGAAGGACGGAAGAATGAGCGTGAACGTCCTGTTCAGCCTCAGCAACGAGAAAAACTCCGGATTTTTCCAAACAGGCAAAATATTCCAGGTAATAATTAAAAGATGTTGACATTTTTTATTGCATTTTTTATGCTTATTTTATTATTTTCGTAAATGCAATTTCCCATTTTTATAGATTTTAAATCTACAAGAAAAGAAATAAAGTTTCTTTATCTTTATGTTAGTGAATTATTGATTAGATATTTTATTATTTATGACAAAATAAAAACATTGCTTAAGCATTTCTATTAACATTACTCCATCATTGAATCATTATATTTGCATTATGTTCTCTTTTTGATATTTATATTTTATCCAATTCAAGTTTATTCTGTTTATTATCTTAGCATTTAAAAACTAAGATACAATCAGAGTAAATCAAAACTAAAAGAATTTAAAATAAAAGAATATCGTAGGGACATTGTTTTTATCTGCAAAAAGTTATATTTCACACATTACAAGTTACAGCTTTAAAATATTTCCTTTCTAAAATACCACAATAAACCACAATAAAAACATAGTTATCTTGAATTTATTCTTCAATTTTGTATTTTTGGATTTTAATCTCTAAGATTTGAAATAGCAAATCAAATATGTAAATAATTTGTTAATATTATAATTAAGGTTTTTTTATATAAGAACAAAAAAAATAATATAAAAATTATATATTTTTATTTTTATTATTGGAATTATTATTATTTTACTATTTTTATTATTTAAAAAAAGTTAGAACTGTAAATATACAGTCATATGTTTATTTTAAAAATTTTTTTATGCGTTTATTACTGTTTTCAAGGCTGCACTTTAAAAAATGAAACTGTCTAGAGCTGTTTTAAACGAAATTTCGTTTTGGATACACTTGTGTATACAAAATGAAAAAATAAATCTGTCTAAGTCTATTAAATGATTTCTTTTAGATTGAGAATTAAGAGTCATTTAAGAGATTTGAAAGTTTAGAAGAGACACTAATGATGGGAACTTAAAAATCTAAGGCTAGGACCCCATTTTGGTTCATCAGACACAAAGTATTTGATCTAAAGTTACTCTAAAGAGAATCTTGGTTAAATTTAGAAAGAACAGCTTATCCCAAAATCAGTTAAATATTTCCAGGAAGAGGTGGAGATAATTGGGCAGATTTTCTGATTGTTCAGACATTTTGTGATATTCCTAAGATGTGATTTCAGTAGTTGGTCATAAACATATTTCTGAGATTGTACAGCAAGAAATCTACATGTTGTGCTTTAATTCACAGAAATAATTCATGAGTGAATAAAAAAGGAAAGAATCAAGAGGGACAGTTTCATTTAAGAAAATCAAGTCCAAATCAAGATATTTTGAAACCATAAAATTCAGCTTATTCTATATTATTAGTCATATACGTTTACTTTAATTTAATGTGCTAAACTTTAACTAAATGTACCTAATCATGCAGACACTTTATTTATTTATCCATTTATAGATTATGATATGAAGATTTCAAAAGATATCGTTGAGATTTCCAGACAATACAAATTCTGGGTTTAGGCCCCTGCAGTGTTGCGTATTAAGATGAAAACATTTAGGGAAGTTGGTATAACAGTTTTTATGCTTGTGTTATGGAAAGAAAAAAACACATTTTTAAGTGTAGCTTGAAATGCCAAAAAAGGTTTAAAAAAAACAACAACAAAAAAACACTGGACTTTGTTTTTTCCCCAAGTTTGAAGACATTTAGTTTCCCATCCAGGAAGCTTTATCTTAAGCCCCATCGCCATGCAGGGGACCAAAACATCTCACCTGGTCAGCCAGGCCAACAATGACCCTAACGACTCCCCATTACTAGGTGGTGGAGCTGTTTTTCGGTTTAATTTGCATTTAAAAAAATAATAATAATAATTTGCATGTTTTCTGAGCCATAATTTGTTTTGCTACTCTATAAAGCCTGAAACTCACTCTAATCCAGACACTTTTAATTGAGAAAGATTCCTGGATGGGAAACAAAACATCTTCTAACTTGGAAAACAAAGTCCAGTGGTTTGTTTTTTTAAACTTTTAAAACTTTTTTGGAATGACTATGACTTGGATGACTGAGAATCTTCACCAGCATGTAGCTTTAAACCTAAGTATTCAAAAGAAAAGCTACATTTTTCAACAACTTTCTGCTCATTTAGACGTTTGAGGCCAAACTTCTCCACGTGGAGAGCCGGCCAAAGAGGAAGTCGAAGGAAGGCCTCCCTGACCTGGAGTTCCTCATCCGGTGCGAAGTCCATCGCTCGGACCTGGACGTGTTCATCAACTCCCTGAAACGGGTCGCTGATGATGTTCGCTATCTGCCTGAGGAAAAAGGTAGGAACCTCACTCTTTTCTAAACTACCTCCTTTACTTTAACGTCCCTTAATAAAATCCACTGCACCACAGGTAGACTTATAACAGTCAATATCTAAACACTTCTTTGGATTCGTCACAAATAGTCATAGTTTTCTGTCTTTGCAGCTCCCTGGTTTCCCCGGCAGATAAAGGACCTCGACAAGTGTAACCTGCTGATAACTAAATTTGATCCTGACCTGGACTGCGATCATCCTGTGAGTGTTTATGGACAAAACAGACTTTCCTTAAAGTGGTCCTGATCAACTCTTCACCAGACTGCCTGAATATTTATGAAGGATTTTCATTGGGGTTACTTTATTTCCTCTGAGGCAACTGATCAAGACTACTTTAAAATGATAACAAGCATAAATAAGGAAGGAAATTAAGGTCCTTTTCCTCTTTTCTGCAGGGATACAATGACTTGGAATACAGAAAAAGACGAGCTGTCATCTCTGAGCTGGCCTTCAGATACAAACAGTGAGTAAAATCTCTTAAACAATGTTAATTAATAATAAAAATCAAAGCCCTCTCCTGAAGATCATCTCTGTTTTGCAGAGGCGACCCGCTGCCCTCGGTGGAGTACACAACAGAAGAAATATCCACATGGTGAGCTTCAAATTCTGGTGCCCTGTTTGAAAATGATCTAAAATGTAGCAGAAGAGGTGACGCTGTGGTGTTGCTGTGCTTACAGGAGGAAGGTTTACCAGCAGCTGAGGAGCATTTATCCCAGTCTGGCCTGCAGGCAGTTCCTGGATGGTCTGCAGCAGCTGGAAAAGGAGTGCGGATACGGAGAGGATCGCATCCCTCAGCTTGGAGACATTTCTGCCTTTCTGAAAGGTGAGAAAAATTAGGAAACAAGATTAAAAAATGTTTTGTGTTTTCTATTAAAAAAGAAAATGGAGAAAAGTATCAAAAGGAATGTAAATCCATGAAAATCTGTCAAAACCACTATAAAATAATGACTCTTATTAAAAGAGATGCAACAGAATTATATTCATATTCATAAAGTTGTAGTTTTTTCAGCTGTTAAATGACTAACAAGATGACTACAGATGCACAGAATCAACTTTGCAACATCAACAAAATCTGAATCTGGCATTAAAACAGTTATGAAGAAACAGTTCCAGAGATGTGTAAGGCCTAACCTGCTCCGCCAGATGGATTTGCTCCGCATATCCATCTGGAAACCTTCCGTTGCAGTAATTTTGGGAAGGGGCGAAAATACTGGTTAGCTGATTGGCCTATGTTGGTGATAGACGGGCCAATAAACCAATCAGATCAACAAAGCATATGACGTACTAACAGAGCGACGACGAAGAGGAGCCAATTGATAGATCAAACTCTTGCCGAAACCAGTCGGGAGAAGAGCAAAAACATCTTTCCCTCTGAGAAAAGCCTCCAGAGCAGTGTTTTGCTCTTCTTTCAGTGAAGAAATACGTTGTAATTCCGATAAAACTTGCTCCATAGCCACGCTAACGCTAGTTTCATCGGCTGAAGCCGCCATGTTCTTTAGACTGAACGGTCGCGCTTCTCGTTGCGTCACATCTCAACCTGCCTCAAAGCCAACGCTGATTGGACGTTCGTTTGGTGAACGGCTCCAAATTTTCTTCAACGGAGAGTCTCCAGACTGATTAGCGAGTGAAATCTTGAAAGCTTGCGAGATCAGGATGGTCTCACGAGGCTACGTAAGGCCTGCAGCAGCAACACCATCATGCACTGATGAGCACCGGGAGTCCCCATGACCCACATCCACCCAAGATCCGAATGTTTCAGCCACCGGAATTCCACCATGCCACAACACAGCCCAGGCGCCACTACAAAGCACCATAGTTCATCAGTAACTTTCTCCCACCCCCTAAACATGTCTATCCATCCATTCATCCATCTTCTCCTACTAATTCCATCAGGGTCACAGTTGCCTTTCTCTGGCAGGCGACAGGCGAGAGCTCATCAGCTCATCAGTCCATCTCAGGGCATCACAGAGACACACAACCAAGAACACACACACTCACACCTAAGGAGAATTTAGGAAAGCCAATTAACCCAACAGTCATGTTTTTGGACTGTGGGAGGAAGGCAGAGTACCCGGAGAGAACCCACGCATGTACAGGGAGAATATGCAAACTCCATCCAGAAATCAAACCCTTGCTGCAAAGCAACAGTACTAGAAACAGCTCCACCGTGCAGCCCCCCCATAACATGTAGAAAAAACGATTAACCTTAAGTGATTAAGTTATTATATTTTACATTAAGGGTGTTTATTGGCTTGAAAAAAACAATTGAAAATTCAATCTATCTTTTTATCCCACTTGAATGAATTACTCTGATAAATTAACGTTTTATTGATATTGATAGACCATCTGTTTTTTCAGGTCTGTCACTCAAATAATAATAAATAATAGATTCTTCTAAATCTAGAAATGGTCAAATATTTTTAACTTTTTTACTTTTCTTTTGTGTGTTTAGAAAAAACTGGTTTCCAGCTGCGCCCGGTGGCCGGCCTGCTCTCAGCCAGAGACTTCCTGGCCAGTCTGGCCTTCAGGGTCTTCCAGTGCACCCAGTACATCCGTCACTCGTCTTCCCCCATGCACTCCCCTGAACCGTGAGTTAGTTTCCCTGCAGCAGCTTAATCATTTCTTTAAGCTTACTCTGTTTTTGACTCGGATCAATCTGCCCTGACAGGGACTGCTGCCATGAGCTCCTCGGACACATCCCCATGTTGGCAGATAGGGAATTTGCACAGTTTTCCCAGGTAAATATTCACATGAATTTTCAAAAAAACTGAAGTATTTTTGAATTGAATTAAAAGCTGCATTTTCTTTCTTAATTCACATTTGACAGTTTGTTTAACAGTTGTTTTTTTCCTTGGTACCAGGAGATTGGACTTGCCTCACTTGGAGCTTCAGATGAGGAGATTGAGAAACTTTCAACGGTAAGATATGAGCTACTGCTACCATCTAGTGGTCAAACTAAATAACTGCATCTGTATAATAAAGTGCTCCTCTGATTTTTAATTCTGCTCCTCTGCAGCTCTACTGGTTCACTGTGGAGTTTGGCCTCTGCAAGCAGAATGGAGAAGTGAAAGCTTACGGTGCAGGTCTCCTTTCCTCATATGGAGAGCTTGTTGTAAGTTTTCTCCTTTGTTTTCCCCACCCACAAACCTTCTACTGCATTTTTTTGTTGTGCTGACGGCCCTTTCACCTTTCCCTACCAGTATGCCCTGTCAAACAAACCAGAGTACAAGCCATTCAACCCAGAAGAGACAGCTGTGCAGCCGTACCAGGATCAAACCTACCAACCGGTTTACTTTGTGTCTGAGAGCTTCGAGGACGCAAAGATAAAGCTGAGGTACTTAGCTCTTCATAGGAAATAAACCGTTGAAAAGACATTTTACAAAACAGAAAATAGTCTTAATAGCTCATTGCTTGAGCCAAAATAATTAAATCGTTTCCCCAACGTTTTGGATAGGCACAAATATTCCCAGCTTCTCAATAATTGTAAACTGGAAGAAAAACAATACAATTTCTTCCAAATATATTGAAAATGACATATCAAAAAAGTTTGGAATGCATGTTATTAAATAAAAGAAATCCAATAACAGCTTCGTGAAAACAAAGGAACTCAACAGACATGGGATATGCGAGAACAGTTAAAAGCAAAATTAGAGGGTAAAATATGAGGTTTGACCCATTTGATGAAGCACTGCTTAAAACATTGTTTGCTAATGCAGAGAAATGGACAGCCTCCTTTTCTGAAAGTTCAAGCAAGGATTAATCAGAAAAGCAACCAGGAGGCAAATGTTACCTCTGGAAGAGCTTCAGGGATCAGCCGCTCCAGTGGGAAATTATTGACTGCAATATTTGTCACGATTTCCTTAGTTGAAACAGTTGAAACAATGAAAATAAGCAACAGATGATCGCATTTATTGCTGGCTGCAAACTATGATGCAAAATAATATGAACACACCAAAAAACGTAAAGATTGATGTCTACAGATACTCTCCATACAATCTGATTAAACTTAGGCTAGTCTGAAAAAAAAACAGGAATAGGACTGAATTTCAGAAATCGAAAGCCGTCATGTATAATTTACAAACACAAAATTTTAATTAAGACTTTTATTTGTACAACAGTTAAAAAATACATAATTTTACACTAGCTTCAAAATTGACACCATTTTCTCTTTTGTTTCATATAAAAGTCCAATAAAATGTATAAAGGCTTGTGGTTCTAACGTGGGAAAATGTGAAAAAGTTTAAGGGTAGAGAGTAGTTACTGGAAAGCAATGTAAAGGTTACAGTGACTGAAGGGCTGCAAAAGTGCTGCAAATATAAAAGTACAGCAATCACAAAGCTTACACTGACACAAAACATGCAAATGGAAAATGTCGTAAAACAAAGAGGTCTCAATTAGAGATAATAAAGATTAGCAAAGGAAAACAGTGCTGCAAACACATAAAGGATGCCAATAGACAAACACACACAAAGGAAATGTTCCTTTAAGCTGTAAAACTAACTCCAAGTTAAGAAATTCTCCAGACCACTAGGGGGAGACGATCATTGACATTATTACAAATCAATGTTTATGGACCATACCATTACTAAGAATATAGATGGGATGCCTGCCCAGAGGACAATTGGCGGGAAAAAAAATCTGCCATTTCCTTTGAGTGTTTTTAAAAACTTAACTTACTCTTCTGTCGCATGGAAACAGCAAGCGGTCGTCGAGGCACTAATGATGCGTCATTAGGACGTTTCTCATTAGTTGCATTTAAGCGACCAGCTTGGGTAGTCACCATCAGCCACTATGTGAAAAGTACTGCTTATAGGGCTGCAACTCTATAACTCCTCAAAATGAAATAAAGTTTTTTTTTTTGGTGAAGAGACAAAACATTTCAACATAGTAAACAAAAAAAATCCAGAAGATTTACTCAAAATGTTTTTGGGAATAACCAAGCAAACACCTTTGTTTTGCGGCTGCAGTCTCTATGTTTTATTTTAGTCATTTTTTTTGTTTGTTTTTGAAGTACTTTTTTCAATTTTGAAGTTTATGTGTTTGCAGCAGGTTTGCACACATTTGCCCCCTTGAAAGGCACATGTGAAGCTATTAAGAGTGGCTAAAATCACTTCAAACCAAACTAGCAGACGGCTTTAAAGACGTGCTTTACATCTCAACCCTGTTGTGTTAGCCACTTGCCTGTAAAGAAATGGAAAGATACTGCAATAAAACGTATCACACCTGGAAGAGTCTTCAGGTTCAACAAGGAAATCAGCAGAGCAGCTATAGTGAGGGAATCTTAAGAGCAGCTGAGAGTCCAGGAAGATCCACAGGCACATCTTACTTAGGAAATACATTTCTGCCTGAGCAAAGCATGCATAGGACTGGTAACAAAAGGGTATGAGTGCATTTCAAGAAGGCTGCCATATTGGTATTCATCAGAAAGTCCAAGGATGGACAGCACAGCAGAAGGCTGGTGCAAATTCATTTACTCTTATCGTGTCAATGTGGATTATGCTTTAAGGAGAGTCTGCATAATGCCAGCAATGAAGCCTCCGGATTCAAACCATGTGTGGGGTTTATTTTCCTCTTAAGGCTTTTCATTTCTCTAAACTCTGCCAAAAAAATGCTTCCAGGAATAAACAGTGAGAGCAGGATTCCTTTAAGAACAACTTCTCAGTAACAAAGTAGTTTAAAGATTAGAGGTTTAGTGCTGGCCCTCTGTTAGAGCAACATTAACCTAATTAGTGTCACAGGAAAAATGTTTGGCCCGGTATTGACAAAGACAATACGGTTTCCTCCATCAAAGAAAGGGTTGTTTATTCGTAGTATTTGGTTATAATGTTTTGAAACAGGGTTTATGTGGGCCAATTTTTTGATGAACCGCACTTCATGCAGATATCTAGAGTTTCTGGTCCCTGTGATTGAAAAATATACAACCTTTCTCTGAACCACTGATGTATTCAACTTTTTTTCCATTCTTTTATTTAGACATTAATGTTTCTCTCTAACAGGAAATACTCTGCAAGCATCAAGCGTCCCTTTGCTGTCCGCTATGACCCTTTCACCTGCAACGTGGAGGTTCTGGACCAGCCAAGCAAGATCCAGAACGCTTTAAGCCAAGTCCGAGAGGACCTGAAGACCCTCCACAGCGCTCTGGAGAAGCTCAGCTCATCCTAAGTCCAAAACCTAATCATCTCCAGAGATCAGACACAGAAACCTGAAGGAAGGCCAATTATTTTTTAAAGTGGCCTGAGTAAACATTCCCAAACCTAGAACATATGACTGTAGTTAATTTGTGTGTAAAGTGTACAGATTATGTAAAAAAAATTTAAATAAATGTTTATTTTCATGAAATTTGTCCTTAAAAGTTGGGTTTTTACATTAAAAAGAGGCAGAAGTTGCTGACGCAAGAAGAGTTGAAAGAAAAGAAGGCTTGTAGACCATTTTCTAGCTTCTAATTCCAAACCAACTGTTTTCATTTGGGAAATTCTTGGAAGCCATTTGTCTTTGTGTGCTATTAAGCAAAGGGAAGGAGCTAATTATGAATGATTTGACTATCGTGTTGCGTTTCTGCTGGACGGGGTTAGAGCCAACAGTGAGGCCCAGAACATTATCAGGACCAGGTCAGCGAGACCTTGCAGTGAAACCGCAGCACGGTCTGCAAAGTTGCACTGCTGACAGATGCTCTTCTCGCTCCGTTTCTCCCTCTGCGTGCGACCGTAAGGTTTGTTTTCTTTTCTTCTCTCTAACAGAAGACCAACATTTTGATCTCAGGCGACAGTGCGTATCAAAGCGGCTCACGTCAGAGCCGTCCCTCAAGAAGACAGATCATCTTAATCTGCTGGATTTATGGAGAAACAGCATCATCAAGACGTCAGCCGCAGTGACTTGGGAGGCTTTTCTTTTCCCATAATTGAACTCACAGTAAATCAACCCCCCTCAACGGAAAGCCTTTGTTTGCAGAAGAGGAAAATATCTCACATTTTATACTTTACTGAAACTTGTTCTACAATCATTCTTCCCCTTAAACCCACAAATCTTCCACAGAAGTTGTGTTTTCAGGATGAGAATCCACAGAGAGCTAAACAAAAGCAGGTTGCTGGGGCAACCGGAGAACCACAAAGAGGGATTCAGTTCAGTTCATGTGCCTTTCATGCGTCATCCAAGAAAAAGCATCTCCTGTACTGATGGCAGGGCAAACTCATCTTAAAACTAAATTATAATAAGGTTATCAGGTTCACCTTATCATCAGGACGTTTCTTCACCCATAAACATGTGAGTTAACTTTCAAATCCTATGGATTATTGTCAAATGACCGTGTTTCCTTACAGTAAAACAACAACAAAGGCTGACAAGCAAATTTCTTGGGATTTACTGGACTAAATAAGAACCAAGACTAGCTAAATATGGATAGCTCCAAAAAAAGACACTAAAGGATGATAGGATCTCCACACATAAGTGTCTGAACGTCCACCCTAATGACTATATAGTGGTTATGCCATTTTAAATGAGGGTCCAAACGTCTGGTGAAAAATTGAAAATCTATGAAAAATTTCCCACAATGCACCTTAAAAAGCAGTGATCATCCATGGTCACTAGATGAGCAAATATATCCCAGATTGCTCTCCTCGCAAAGCATTGTTGGGTTTGTTGTGGCGGTGGCAAATAACGAAAATCGTGCAAGAGCCATGCGGGGACGCAGAGTTACGTGACCGACGGACAGCGAAAAGAAGTGATCATCTGTCCGAACGGTCAGTTAACCGAGTTCACTATAAAGTTCACTATATAGTCCCCGCTCTATATAGTGATTGAGGGATTTAGGGGTTAGTGTGGATGTTCGGACACAGCCATACTCCTCAAACCAGGATTTGGAGGATTTGGGCTTGGAGTACCAGAGTTCCTTGCAGTTAGTGATGTTATGAGATGAGCCGAGGCTTCGAGGCGTGTGTCGAGTAATGGAGGGGGCGTTTCCCCGAAGCACCTGTCGAGGCGTGATTCATTTAGAGGCGGGGCCAAAATTAATGACGTCCGAGGCCTCGCTACCGTGATACCACGTGACCGCCTCGGGAAGTGGTTCGGGAAGCGCAAGAATTTTGACAGGAATTTAAATAGCCTCAGTGTTCAGGCAAGATGTGGGAGTTTGGAGGAGAGCTGCTGTCAGCGGGATAAAGTTTGGATAGATTCTAAGAATAGATTGGTTGTTTTTTCAACCAATCTAGTTACTTAAAACTAATTTGGTTAGAATAAACAATGTAATGATAAAAATTTGAGCAAACCACCGGACAAAGTCAGTGTTAACACGTCAGTGTTAACTAGTATTTTCTCCTTGCTATGGTCATCTACATAGGTGGCGTCATCTGCAAGAGACAGGCTCTCACCCTAGAAGATGATGGTTCAAGACTTGTCTTTGACTGATTAAACTGGCTGATGAGACTAATTTGCACTGTTTTGCCCGAGTAAAAATATAGATTGGGTAAATTAGGTCGGTTTAGTCAAAAGATTGGTTGAACAACTTCCAACCTGATTAAAACCAAAAAACGTGGTAAAACTATCATGTTTGAATAAAAATGACCAACACCTTTCATTTTTCTCATCATTGCTCGTCAAAGTAATTTCCATCTGTGCAAATTGGGCAATCACAATCAGAAATACTTCAATAATCCCAAACACTTTCACTGTCTGCTTGAGTTTATTTCACTAAAATGGCAGAAAAACTGTGAACCTTAAATGATTGTTCTAAGAAATGTTACACTTAAAAAAAAAATTACAAAATAGTTATCATACACACCAACCATTAACAATTTCAAGGGAACTTGAAAGGGCAAAAAAACCCCACAGATTTTATTACAAACTGTAGTTCTGCAGTCCACCAGTAGGTGGTGACATGTTCACATGAAGCCTCATGAACTGTTAGCCTCGTGAGACCATCCTGATCTCGCGAGCTTTCAAGGTTTCACTCGCAGATCAGTCTGGAAACCCCCTAGTTAAAGAAAATTTGGAGCCGTTCACCAAAGGAACGTCCAATCAGCGTTGGCTTTGAGGCGGGTTGAGGTGTGACGCAACGAGAAGCGCGACAGTTCAGTTTAAAGAACATGGCGGCTTCAGCCGACCAAACTAGCGTTAGCGTGGCTATCGAGCAAGTTTTATCGGAATTACAGAGTATTTCTTCACTGAAAGAAGAGCAAAACACTGCTCTGGAGGCTGTTCTCAGAGGAAAAGATGTTTTTGCTCTTCTCCCGACTGGTTTCGGCAAGAGTATCCTGGCTTGTGGTTGTGTTTTCGTCGTCGCTCTGTTAGTACGTCATATGCTTCGTTGATCTGATTGGTTTATTTGGCCCGTCTATCACCAACATAGGCCAATCAGCTAACCAGTATTTTCGCCCCTTCCCAAAATTACTTCAACGGATGGTTTCCAGATGGATATGCAGAGCAAATCCATCTGGCGGAGTCGGGTTAATGAACTGTGGGGATCGTTGAAGCAATTTGGCCAAACGGTTCAATGCCTCATGAGGCTTCATCTCACCATCACCGCTCACAGTTCTTAAAGGGACTTTTTATAGCATTCTAGAGTTTAATGTGGATTTACAGCTTGGTTTAATCAGAGATTTAAAAGCTGCAGTGGGACCTTAATTGACTGCTGCTATATAGACCCTGTGTGAAAGAGCCTTTAATACCTAAAGCTGGTTATGACGCCCCTAAAGGGTAACAACTGTTATCTCTCATCTCTGGAGGGGTTTTTACACAATCGTTCCATAATTCTTAAAATTACACAAAAACCTTCACGTTGGTGTTTCTTTAGAGGTGGACTCTCTGCTGTATAAAGTGGTTGGACTTCCTTCTTCAGGATCTTCTTGTGGACAGCAAGCTCTTCAATATCACCAATCTATTGCAACTCTACCATGTTTGTCCGGCCGTATGACACACTTCTCCTAAAATATTAGTTTCACACCGAAGGTAATGGGAGGCGACGGCGTACCTTAAAACCAGCTCTGCGTTTGTCTCCTTAGTCCAGGGGTGCGCAATTCCAGTTCCCAACTGGCCGGCATCCTGCAACTAGTAGATGTGAGTTGGGTTTAACACACCTGGATGTGGTAATTAGATGATTGAGAGGACTCTGCAGGAAGTGACTGCATGCTGAGGAGGTAACTCAGCTATTTGATTCAGGTGTGTTGGACCAAGGATGGATGTAAAAGTTGCAGGATACTGTCCCTCAGGAACTGGAATTGCCAACCCTGCCTTAGTCCAAAGAATATTTTCTGAAAGTCAAGAGTAATTATGTCTTTTTGCCGAAGGGAGGGACTTAACGTTTCTATACAGTCAGTCATAGTTTTGTGTTGGAGATTTTTCACAGTAGTAATTTTTGCCCATCCTGCTACTCTTTGTTGAATCAAGAAGTTTGATATTCCGTAAAAATTCAAAAAATATCCACTGGACTTGGTTTCCAAGACCTACCCGCTCCAGCCGGTGAACAATACCTCCTTAACGTCCGACCCTCAGAATCATAGACAGGTTTCAGATATTACAGGCTAAGAATGGAACCAAACGACCCATTCATCGGTTACCATTTGCATGTCTCCAAGCGATACAAGGCTTTGTCTATATAAGACTCAAACTTATTGTGGATCCAGACATTTGAATTGAGAAAGCGTCCTGGAGAGGTGGCGAAACGTCTTCAAAGCTTGGAAACCAAGTCCAGTGGATATTTTTTGAATTTTTACGGAATGACTATGACCTGGATGACTGGGAATCTTCATCAGCACAAGTTTGACATTAACTGAGGTAAGTGAGGCCTCTTTCCTGACCTCCTGGATGAGTCACAGATGGACTCTTGGATCAGGTTCGGTGGGTCCGCCGTTCTTTGGAAAGTTCAACACCTTTCCAGTCTTGCCTGTTGTTAAAAAGGACTCTTACTGCAAATCAATGAGGTCAATGAAGCTTTAAAACCCATTTGGAAAGAATAAAAGTCAATCACTTGGTTTCTCATCTGTTCAACTTTTTTTTAGATTGAGGAATAATGAGTTTCTTTCTGAGATCTTTAGCTCTAATTCATGTTGAAGGACTGCTTACTTCTTCTGTTGGGCTAGGTTGCTTCGTCTGGCATTTCTCTTGAATAAAATAAACTCAAATGTACAGCGTGCCATAGGTGGGAAGAAAAGAGCAGATCTCTAAAGGGTAAACTTTTTCAAAGAACCGTTTATGAATAATTTATCTTTAGTTGGTGCAGTTTAGCTGATCAAACTCCACACAAAAAGCATCGTCAGCGAACTGACCCCCCTCCCCCCATCGATTCTCTTCATCTGATCAAGATGAAAAAGAATCGTTTCATTCTGGGAAAGGTCTGCAAACAAACCAGCTTCAAAGAGCTGTAATCTCCATCTTCTCACATCACGCTCCTCATTATTTCTGTTTGCTCTCTTTGTGTCGAGTCAGGGATTACAGTTATCTGAGAGGAAGATTAGAGGAAAGCCGGTTTTGAGGAAGCCTGATCTCACTTTTATCCAATTTCACAGTTTGTTATTAGTGAGCACGCAAGGATGAGGGATTGAATTGCTTGTGAGGCATGAAAAAACTTTCCCGAGGTCAGACCAAAAGGTAAGCGGCTGCATCCGAGGACATGCTTCCAGAAGACAAGATGGTCAAAGGAGGTGTAGTGCTGATCATTAGGCAATAGATGGCATCCATGAGTCATGAGATTCAAGAGTCATGTTTCACAGAAAAAAAAAATGGACTCATTCAAACAAAGGAGCAGTGGCACGTTTTGCTTCAGCAGGCTGTGGTAAAAGCGCCCCTTCCAAGAAATATACAAGACTGGCGGGGAGGTTTGAAAGCACGGTGCTCCTTGTGGCCTCTCCCCACATCAAACTGTCATAGAGGAACTGCTAAACAATGCAGCCCAGTGTTTCAGCAGAAGGAGCCGCTCTGTTAGCATTGATGGAAACAGGTGACCGGCTGTCAAAATGAGAACACTCTGACTCTGCTGCTCAGCTGGTGCAAAGTACAACTCAGAGGGTGATTTGGCAAACATGACATTTCCGTGTAATGACATGGTCGGTGGGAAAATGGGAGTCCCAAGGCAAACTGAGGAGGGTGCAGACAGGGATACTTTAAATTTAAGTTAAACAGACACAAAAAAGTGCAGCAAAAATTATTTCTTTATGGCAATATTTTAGATTCAGTTTAAAGGCAGCACATCAAAGGTCAGCAAGGTCCCCAGAACAATACCGAACCCAAAGAAACGCAACATATCCTCCTCACTTCCCGAAAGCCTTCAGAAACTTTAGAGACAGATTTAAAACCCTGAAACTTTATTTTATGGAGAACGAAGTAGTTAATAATTTTTTCAGTTCACTGTAAGCAAAACATTTAAAGTGTATCACCGATAAAAATCAACAAAAGTGATCTTACAGAGATGAGATGGACAGACTTTAAAAATGAAACGTGAAAAGACAGAAGAGGGGTGGAAAGAGTGGTAAGGAACTAGGAAAGGAGGGATACAAAGTAGGGAGGATACACTTAAAAAAAGGATTTAACTAAAATAAGGGAGACTGACATGGAAATGGAGGGACAGAAGAAATAACGAAGAGGAAAAGGGCAAAAAATGAAAATGTGGGGGAAAGGAGACCTGGAATGAATTAGACAAGGAGAAAAGAAATGGATGAAATAAGAGAGAAATTAGATTTGAAGGAAAACATAAAAAGGAACAAAAAGATAAGTAAAATCTAGCAAAGCAAATGTTTTACCCTTATCCATTTGTCATGGTCTTGGTTCTGTTGTTCTTTACTTTGCTCCTTGTTTTCTAGTTTTATTGGTTTAATTCCAGTTTTGTTGTAATTTCTAGATTTATGTTAGTTCTCATGTTTTTCTGTTGCCCTCTTGTGTGTGTGTTCCTTTCCCCTTCGCTCCCTCGTTGTCTCCTCTCACACCTGCTCCTTGTCAGCTCGTTAGCCCTCCCTTTGTCTCTGTCAGCTATATATGCTCTCACAATTTGCTGGTTCCTTGTCTTTGCTGTCCTCTCATGCTGTTGTCCACCTACCTCGTCTCTCCCTGGGTTCTCGTGTTTGGTTTCCCCAGTTGTCTCCATAGTTCTGGTTTGCTTTTCATTATTAGTTGGATTTTTGCATTCCTGCCTTTATTTACCGTTTTTGGCCCATTAAACTCCAAGAAATCTCCTCAGCCTCTCTGCATTTGGGTCCTCCAATCCTCAACCAAACCTTGACACGCATTAACCTGGAAACCTAATTGGAAATCAACCTGAGGAATCTGATTTGAAACCTTTAGCACTTTCCATCAGGATGTCCAATCTACCTTCCTGCTGGGCCTTTTTCTCCTCTAATAAAGGCACATAGGCAATGACAGCCCCAGAAACAATCCTGGTTCTGCTTTTGCACTTTTAACAACTTTTTCCTGTCCAGAAGAATCAATTTAACATCAGTTGACTGGATTATAAAAAAGAAACTGGGATCTTTTGCATCCTTTTGCATCAAAACTCCTGAAATCTGTTATTCATACCTCTTGGCTTTAGTCACTGGAGTAAAGATCAGAAACAAAAGGTCCGTTAAGCCAGAATCTGGGTATGGTTCTTATTTGTATGACTAAACATCCAATAACCCAAACTGCCAATATTAATAAAAGTAAAACAGTACCACCTGTGTGGATTTCCCATTTCTGCACCACAGTTTGTTTTAGTGTCATTCCTGCAAAAGTGATATTTATTTTTTAGCACCAACTTCATTGCATCTAAAGAATCAAAAAACATCGAGGCAGTTCCAGTAATCTTCACACAAACTCAGGTCCTGTCAAAATAGATTTTATTGAACACAAATGGAAAGACAAACAGGGCATCCGTTTGAAGAGCTGCTACATTTCGGTCATCCAAAAGCATAGTTTCCTGTCACCGCCGACCACACAGAGCGGCAGCGTCCGATGCCAGCTGAGGCCCGATCCGACTGAGGACGATCCGATCGTTACAGGCTGCAGAGAGGGGAGCGTCAGATGCAAGGAACTCAGAAAAGCAGCTGGCTTGTGCTGTGAGGTGAAAACTTACCTGTGGGTGACCGAGGTGATGGATGAAAACCTGACTGCTGACTTTTCCGGGACATCCGGTGGTGGCGAAGAAGCTTTCATTGGCGAGAGACCACCTGGAGAGCACAATGATACCTGTAAAAAGTCTGCTCTTTTTCAGGTAATTAAAATAAAGGTAAATAAGATGGCGTACCTGAATAGCCTAGCTTTGTCTTTATGAGCAGGTCGTTTCTCTTGTGGATAACTGCATAAACGAAGACAGAAATGAGATACATTAGATGTCCTGCAGATGAGCTAATGAAGCTGCACCTGTGCGCCCTTTTCACCCCACCTGGAGCGCGTGATGTCCCAGATCAGCCAATCGGTGCCAACTGCGGCCCCGACTTTGATAGTGTTGGTGAGACACCAGTCAGCAGACATGAGCGGCCCGCTGGGTCCGCAGTCCAGCGACAGGATGGCCTGCTGGGTGATCAGGTCGTAAAAACGGATCGTCCCCTTCTTCTCTGCCACCATTAACTGATCAGCAAATGTGTCAGAAGAGTAGAAAGAAGGGTACAAGTTAGCATAATGAAACACAAGACCTCTGTAGAAGTTCCTTATTATAGAAAAACAAAACATCATGTATATATATATATATATATATATATATATATATATATATATATGAAAAACAAGAGCTTTTATATAAGTCTGGAGTATACCAAACTAAAGGAACCTTTAAGGCCATGTTCAATAATTGTAGCAGCAGAAAATTATAACAACAAAAAAAAAGTGTTTGGTAAAAGTTTAAAAACAATCCACTGGACTTGGTTTCCAAGGTTTGAAGACGTTTCGCTTCACCTCCAGGAAGCTTTCTCAATTCAAATGAATTGATTTTTTCCCCCATTTGAATTGAGAAAGCTTCCTGGAGGGGAAGCGAAACGTCTTCAAATCTTGGAAATCAAGTCCAGTGGATTGTTTTTAAACTTTTACGGAATGACTATGACCTGGATGACCTGGATGAATCTTTATCAGTAAAAAAAAGTGTTAGTTCCTTTTTAGGGTTAAACAATATAAAGTCGTCAGTATTGAAAAAATAAAATACGCCTTGGATACATTTTTTTTTATTTTGGAAAAAAAGCAGGATTTTTATAAAACAGGTTTCTGTGCTGAGAATAAAGGTCTATGTTCACACAGCAGCCTGAAGTGACAAATACGATTTTTTATGGCACAAATGCCACCTTAATCTGATCTTTTTATGACAGTCTGAACAACACAGATTGGATTTTTTCCAATGCGGCCAAAGACACTTGGCTTTGTGTGATCCTGAATCTGATACGAATTTGATCTTTTCAAATGCGACCTGTCGCATTCATCTGACCTGAACGTCATTAGTACTCAACAAAGGTCCCTATTCTGCGTCAAACATCAACAGTTAAAAAGAAAAACAACCATGGGGGATAATAATGCGGAAAGCAGTCTTAATTTTCAACCATCTTGAAAAGATTGCATTATTAAATGGGTCATAGAATGATTCTATAGGGTATTTGGTCCTTAAGGTCTCTGAATAGGGTTTGTAACATTGGTTGGGCTGAAAATGGCATATCTGCTGTTCTATGAGCCGTAATACAAGCCTGGTTAAAAGCCCTAGAATGAAACGGCAGGTTTTCTCCCTTTTATGGTATGATCATGAATATTTAGATGAGCTGTGCTCTGATTGGTTGGTTTAAAAAGAGCGAAGCTGCTGAGAAAGGACACATCATAGCAACAAGCACTCACTCACTGAAACATCAAATTGTTGATACAGTAGGGTGACCAGACGTCCTCTTTTTCTCGGACATGTCCTACTTTTCATACCTAAAAAAAAAATGTCCGGGGGTAATTTGAAAATTGTCCGGGATTTTGGTCGACTGCAGTGCAGCACGTACCCGGCGGACGGGGGCTGGGAGCCAGCAGGGGACAGCGCGACTGAACCCAACCCGGTGAAGGTAGCCAGGACGATGGCGGCCCCGTGCTTCCCCCTGCCTCATGGCTCTTTTCTGAGAGCATGAGCTGATCCAGTCAGCGGCCCAGCAATCCACGCTTCATACAACCGCCGTCATTTCAGGGCTTCGTTTGAATTCCCCTGTTTTATGGTGGAAGTTTAAAATTGTGAGATTTGCAGAGAAAGGAGGTGTGTATGGGGTTTGAACTTCTCTGTACGTCCATTTCAGCCACCGAACTGTTATACATCTATGACAATGGAAACTCGGTTTGGAGTTCTATAACCCTTTAATGATCGCTAGATGAGCTCCAGCACTACCATCCTTTTTTACTTCTGTAAACACACGCTCGCTTGTGTTTTGCTTGCTTGTGACGTCATTGCGTCCTCTACTGCGCATGCGGGACTCTTAAGTTGTATGAATGCAGTTCACACAGGAGATCACATACAAGTCACATATACCGTATTCTCACGACTATAAGGCGCATATAAACGTCTTTTTTTTTCTGAAAATAAGCGGCGCGCCCTATAGTGCGGTGCGCCCTATGTGTGTTGTTACTACGGACGTTGTTGAGACCACCATGAGAACGTTAAAGGGGGAAGTGTGGGCGTGGATTGTGTATAAAAGAACAGGTATGTGCTTTTTAAGAGAAAGCAGCTGAAGCAGCTTTGCTGCTCTGGCTGCGCGGTGCAAAAGTGTGTCTGATGCGCGTTGGGCGGAGCTTCACTATCCTTTCTCTGCCTTGCAGCTATATTTGCTGTGATCAGTGGGAATAAAGTAGTTTTAATATGTTTTTAAGTGAGAAAGTACACTTGCAAACGTAATCAGTGCAGTCAGTTCATTCAGATTACATCATGGTACACCGCGGCGG